GGTGTAAAACCTGGTTCATGTCCAAAATCCTTCATTAGACAGATGAAGATATTGGTCTCCAGTGGGATGCTGTGATTGCTCAAGCTCATACTCATTTGGTGGAGGTAGAGCCCCTCCACTCCTGACAGTGCGCTTCCTACTGCACCCTTCAAGCACTTTCTTGATTTTCTTAGAATGGAGTCAGTATAAGCAGGCTATAGTGATTTTTTTTCTCTCTTTATTTATTTATTTATTTATTTTTTATATTCTAGATTTTTAAAAAAGATAATTTTGAGTATTCCATACCAAGACATGATACTATCATCCTGCTATGTTACAACTTATTTCATCATTTCACTGAGCTCCATGTGAAGAAATCAGAGTTAGTTCTTAAGTGTTATGGTGATGGAGGAGGGGAGAGGGATCCAGACTAATTCCATGTGAGGGAGCTAGGAAATAAATATATATTTTTTAAAGATTTTATTTATTTATTTGAGAGAGAGAGCACATGAGAGGGGGGAGGGTCAGAGGGAGAAGCAGACTCCCCGCCGAGCAGGGAGCCCGATGCGGGACTCGATCCCGGGACTCCAGGATCATGACCTGAGCCGAAGGCAGTCGCTTAACCGACTGAGCCACCCAGGTGCCCGGGAAATAAATATTAAGAGGGAGAATATCCCACTATGGCTGTTGTCCCCAAACAGCTCTCTCCTGAACTCCACTTGTTTAGGTAATAATTTGGTTTATCGAGCTGTACTTTTAAAATGCTAACATCTTCCCTCTAGGTCAAACCCATTGATCACTTGCACCATAAAGTGAACATTAATAAGATTTCTACATGCTAGGCACTATGCTTAGTGTTTCACTTGCATTATCTTATATAACCCACATAATAATAGTGTGAGGTAAATACAACTGTTATCTTCACTTACATAAGGATAAATGGAGGCTTATAGAGGTTAAATATTTCACCCCAAAGCACACAGCTAATAAATGGCAGAGTCGAGATCTGAGTCCATGCTCTTAGTGGCTGTGCTATCCTGCAATGGACAGTCAGGGTTCATACCCAGCTACCCAGTTAGAGGATGGGTATTTCATTGGATATATGGAAGAAGGGTTAATTATATATAGAGTAGGTGGGCATGGTCGGTGGTGCTTTCCTCTCCATTTTACAACCTGGCTTAAGTTACTTCTGTATGGATTTGGATTAGAGATTCCCAATAATAAATAAAGTAAAAAAGAAATATAACCAAACTACAAGAACCGAAAACTACACTTAAAAATTTGCTGTAAAACATTTATATAAATGAGAGCATAATTTTTGGGGGAGCTATATGCTATCAGCCCTGATTTCCTATTACATTTTTAGATTTTAAATTCTTAAAATCAGCTTTTAGTGAGAAGGGACTGTGAAGGACATTTAAGTAATATAAAGTTAATTAACGATATCTATTTCAAAAAGAGGTAAGCTGGATATTTGAAATAATTAGATACTTAAAAAACCTCTTTTTGCAAATGGTGTCAGTCTTCACATCATTCAAATTCATTTGCAAGAAATAGAATACTAAACTCAAACTGGCTTAAACAACAGGGATATTAAGCCTTACAGTACTCAGTTCTGAAGTAGAGTGGCTTTATGTTTGATTCAGTGAGTCACAAAATATCATCGAAGGGCCAGATTCTCTCTGTCTCTTCATTCTGCTGCTTTAAGCTTTGGCTTCATTCTCAGGTTGGCTTTTCTTGTGCCACAAAATGGCTGCGGGGCAAGCCTCCTTATTCCCTTACAGTGAGGAAGAGAAAACTGGCTTCTTGTTGCTCTCTCTTCAGAACCAAGAAGAGCATTCCGAGAAGCCTCTTTTCTCTTTCACTGGCCAGGATCAAAGGTCACATGACCATTTCTTAGACAATCTCAGCAAAATGGCTTGAGATTACACATAATCAGCCAGGTCCAGCTCTTTAAATGAGGGCATTCCCTCAGACACCATTGCTTTTTCTCAATAAGAGAAAAGTGCAGTGTATGTTACAGAGGCAACCACGATCCCCAGTGTAGAATTTGCCTGTACCAGATGGGTGCCATGATTCATTTACATATTCGAGAGACCTGTATTGAATATCTGCCATCTGCTCAGAACCAAGAGATTCTAAAGACAAGTTATACATGGATCCATTTTTCTATTAGGTGACAAAAATGACAAACTGTGGCTCATGCCCCTGCTGCTTTTTCCTCCCTACCCTTTGGTGTAAGCACTCAGTAAAAACCTCAACGCAGCCAAAGATTGAACTAAAGATGGAAACTGAGGCTGAGCCCAAATCGATGGCTCCAAAACAAGGGAACTGACCAAATTCAGTCAACCATTTAGTTACTAACCAATTATTTTATTAAATACAATCCTTTAAAATAATTAATCTTTTTTTTTATTTTTAAAGATTTTATTTATTTATTTGAGAGAGAGAATGAGATAGAGACAGAGAGAGCATGAGATGGAGGAGCCTCAGAGGGAGAAGCAGACCCCCCGCCGAGCAGGGAGCCCGATGCGGGACTCGATCCCGGGACTCCAGGATCATGACCTGAGCCAAAGGCAGTCGCTTAACCAACTGAGCCACCCAGACGCCCCTTCTGTGTTATTTTTACAATGTAACAAAATCTAATACCTACTGCTGATTCTGTACTATGTTGGAATCTGAAGTAGATAAATACTGATGTTCCTTCACATTTTTTTATAGAAGATTTTATTTATTCATTTATTTGAGAGAGTGAGAGAGAGAGAGCACATGAGAGGGGGGAGGGTCAGAGGGAGAAGCAGACTCCCCGCTAAGCAGGGAGCCTGATGCGGGACTCAATCCCGGAACTCCAGGATCATGACCTGAGCCGAAGGCAGTCGCTTAACCAACTGAGCCACCCAGGCGCCCCTAATTAATCTTTCTTTTTACACAGACCAATTTCCCTTTATCAGGTGATAGATTACACTGACCTTAATTCTTGAGAGCACTGGGTATACATCTCCATCCCCCACAACTCATCAGTTTGATAGCTAGCAACTTTACTCTTGGGCTTACTATATTACATATTTAAATCGTTTGAAGGGGTAGGTGAAGGGCTCAAAAATTCTTATGTGCAAGCTCAGAGTGCTCTAGATTGGCAAAACAATTGCATTTGTAAATGTGAAATACCTCCAGGAGCACTTCCTTTGAAAGTGAATGAGATATGGGTGCTTGGAACAAGTTATGAGTTGTCTTATCTTGTGGTTTAGCAAATTTTGAAGTTGGTCAAATAAGCAGTTTCTACTCTCCCCCCACTTTTTTTTCCTGACAGCCCAGTTAACTGCACCTGCCTCTTCATTAACCATAGAAAAGCAAAAACCTAGCGACATGAAATTAAATTTTTCTGTGCTTTGGCACCAATAAGCCCACGGAGAATGCTAAAGACATGTGGAAGAGTTAATGCTTAGGGAGAGCAAAAGATTATTTGCTTCTGCCCCAGTAACAGAGCTATTCTAAGAGCTCTGATTGCTTAAGAGAGGCAGGGCACAGGCCTGGCCTCTTTTTCTGTCTCTCTTTTTTTTTTTTTTAAGATTTTATTTATTTATTTGACAGAGAGAGAGACAGCGAGAGAGGGAACACAAGCGGGGGGAGTGGGAGAGGGAGAAGCAGGCTTCCCGCGGAGCAGGGAGCCCGATGCGGGGCTCGATCCCAGGACCCTGGGATCATGACCTGAGCCGAAGGCAGACGCTTAACAGACTGAGCCACCCAGGCGTCCCAGACTGTGCTATTTTTGTCATACATTTTACTTATATTTGTTAAAAGTCCCCACAGTACACTATTTTTGCTTAAATGGCTTTAAAGAGATTTTGAAGAAGAAGGAAAAAGTCTCATATATTTACCCATATATTTACAATTTAAGGTGTTCTTCATTTCTTTGTGTAGATCCAGATTTCTCCTTGGTTCTATTTTCCTTCTGCCTAAAGACATCCTTTAACGTTTCTTACAGTTCAGGTCTGTTGGTAATGGATTCTTTCACTTTTTCCAGGCTGAAATATTTATTTCAACTTAATATATATATATATATTTTAAGATTTTATTTATTTGACAGAGAGAGCACAAGCAGAGGGAGAGAGAGAGAGAAGCAGGCTCCCCGCTGAGCAAGGAGCCCGATGTGGGACTCGATCCCTGGGCCCTGGAATCATGACCTGGGCCGAAGGCAGCCACTTAACCAACTGAGCCACCCAGGCGTCCCTCAACTTAATATTTTAAAGATATTTTGCTGCGTATAGACTTCTACACTGACATTTTTTCCCTTTCAGTACTTTTATTTTTTGATTTTTTTTTTTTTAAGATTTTATTTGTTTATTTGACAGAGAGCGAGAGCAGGAACACAAGCGTAGGGGGTGGGAGAGGGAGAAGCAGGCTTCCTGCTGAGCAGGGAGCCCGATGCGGGGCTCGATCCCAGGACCCCGGGATCATGACCTGAGCTGAAGGCAGACGCTTAACGACTGAGCCACCCAGGCGCTCCTCTTTTTCTGTCTCTTGCTTAGACTTCTAAATTCTTACTTGTTCGTTTATCTGTTGAAGATATTATAGCATAGTCTAGAGCAGTGGTTTTTCTCAGTTTGTTCTTCTGAGTAACTCCTAGACCAATCCCTAATAGTATTTGTATTTTTAAAGACAGAATAATCTGTACTTTTCCTTTTGACATTAGTTTATCATTTAACTGTTAGTTCATAAAACCCAAGAAGCATCCTATTCTCATTTTGGGAAGTGTTTTGATGGTGGAAGTGAACAGAGAGAGCTGAGGAGTGGAGGGACACGGGAGTAGGTGGCCTGAGGATTATTTTCCAACATGGGACTTGGACTTGCTACAGTCCTACAGTCATATGTTTTTTAGAGCTCAGCCTTTCACCTTCAAATGACTCTACATCTTATGACTTTTCTTTCTCACAGGGATTAGACACCAACTCGCCAAACAATTCTACACTGCCCCACATGGTTTTTAGCATGTAAACCTTTATCCCAGTCTAAGTGTGATCCCACCTATGTTAGAATGTTTCTTCTACAGAGCTGGACACCTGCTACTCCGGAACCTTAAAAATACTCTGAATACTCTGAAACATGAAATTAATGGCCAGTTGGGACAGGAAAATATGAGGCCTTCTGGTTCTGTCTACTTCCAACTTGTCTACATGACTGATTTTTTTTTTTTTTTTAAACATCAAGGACTTGGTGAGTTGTTTTGGTAAGTTGTAGACATTTTCTCTCCATTGTTGTTCAATCCAGGAAAAGGAGTATCATCCACCCTTTATTTAGATTAGATACATAAGAGCAATCCTTATTGTTTCCCTTTTTGTTATTCCTCACATCTAATTCATTCTGAAATCCTGTGGGTTTCCTTACAGAACACACATGGAGTGTGTCAACTTCATCTCTGAAGTCAGCATCCTAGCCCAGGCCATCACCATGTCAAATCCTCAAGAGTTTTCAGTCTTGTCTCCTTGGCTCAACCTTGGCTCAACCCTTGCTTGTCTATGATGCATTCTTCACCTTGAGGCCAGAATTTTCTTTTAAAAATGCAAATCAGAGTGTGCCAGTCCCCTTCATAAAACTGTCTCTGGTTTCCCAGTACTCTGAATAAAATCCAACTCCTAACTACCATCTCCTAAACCTCTTGTTGATCTAGCTTCTGCAAGTTCCTCCAACTTCTCTATTGCCTTCCAACGCTGTGCCTGCAATTGTTACCTTCATTTCTTTTCTATGCTTGGAGAGTTTCTCCTTCACTTCTTGCATGATCTTAACTTAACTGTCACCTCCCCCAGAGGCATTCCCTGATTACCCTCCCAACCTGGTGTGAAAGTTACTACGGAATGGGTAGCTTAACATCTATTCAAACTCTCTTTCCCTATGCTGAGAATCCAAACCAAAATTCACATTTCCTAGGCCTTCTAGCTTGGATCCTAGAAATGATATAGTTTCTGTGAACAAAATGACAGGGCATCCATTTTGTGGCTCACAGGGTCTCCATTTGATGGCACCAAGCATCATTTTGCTGGCATGGTTGGTGGCTGGAGTGTTGTGATTCTGGAGAAAGCAGTTCTAGCTATGGCTGCAACATGAAGCAGCAAAAGGCAGCTTCCTGATTCAGGAACAGCACTACTTTAATTGCATTGGGGGCTGGAATGGTTCTACAGTCAGCAGGGCAAAACACCTTCCTAATATAGCAGCTTCTTCTAATGGATTGTGCAGAGGTTGGGGATTGTTCTTGAGAGGTCAGTCTAGAGCCTGCTCCTCGAGCCCTTTTAACAATTTTATAAGCCACTGAGTTCCCTATATAGAATCCTTTTCTGCTTAAAGTAGCTAGGAAGGATTCTGTTGTTTGCAATAAAGTCTAGACCAATACAAGTACCTAGGATAGGTTACTCTGTAGCTCATCTTTGAATTTTTTTATTCATCCCAATTCTAATTTAAATTATACTGTTCATGTAGTGTCTCTCTCCATTATAATATAAACTTTATGAGGATAGGACTTTGGTTCACTGCTCTGTCCCCAGCACCTAGGACAGTTCTTGACGCATGGGGGGTGTTCCATAAATGTTTGTTGCATGAATGAATGAGCCCTAACTTTTGCAGAGGTTACTCCACACCATGCCCAGGCTATCTTAACAGCAGGGGGTTTGTTCCGCAGTTACAGTCTTTCATTTGACTCACCGTTTGTTTCTGGTCCAGCTCCAATTTAGATCTTTTGACTCAGCAATGGAAACATGCACTCCTGATGATGATGACAGAGTGAATCCTTGAATTCTCTAAAAGCTCTGCATCAGGAAGCTTCTGCTAAATGGTGCCTCGCACTGCTATCGACGGAGCATGGCTCAGCCAGAGTTCACTATCAGTGTGTCAGGCAGTAGGGCAGAAAATGAACAAGAAGGGCTGGCCATTGCGCAGGCCCTTTTCGCTTGAAAGACTATTTCACAAACAGTGGCAAGTCTGGGCACTCTCCTTCTGAAAGACTGCCCAAGATCATCCTACCCATTCTGGCTGTGGATCCTCTCTTTCCCATAACCCAACATGCTTTTCCTCCTTTGAAAAATGTTCACAAGTCTGCAGCATGCCCGTGCTAATTTAAAACTCTATTTGTATTTGCCCTTCCTTTCTCTTTGTCTGTTTCCAAATGAAGCCAATGTCCAGAAATGCTTGTAGTCGCTTTGCTTTGTTTTTAACACACTGAGAAGTTAGGTTCTCAGCATAAAATGTTAAATAATAGAGTATTTGCCTAAAATAATCTATGCCTCATTCGATTTTTTATCCTAGTGCTAGGTACAGGGTCTGGTACATAATGGGTACTCAATAAATGCTTGAAGAATGATTGAATGCAGCATGTCCAATTTATCAAACAAACAAAAAAAACAAAGTGTGATTGAATGAATGAATCATCTTAGTTTTGTGCTTTTTCAAAGCTGGCGAAAGGTTAACGTATGCAGAGAAGACTTAGTATATGAGAAAAGAATCCCACATATGACTTCAATTCTATTCAAATGTGTTCCTGCTGTTAGGCAGGATTTCATTAACATGTTCTCCACATCATGCCTGCTGAATATCATTGCAAGGTTTAGTTGACAAGTGCCATTCACAAGCCACATCCCTGAACCTGAGAGGGTACCCTGCCATGTGGGGCTTTCTCTTCTTGGTCCTGACACACGTCCCATGGCAAATGTCAAATGTTCTTTTTTTTAGGAATCCTGTATTAAACGATGTGCTTCTTCAAGGTCAGGGCAGGCACCCACTCAACTTTGCATTCATGAGCAAGAATGCTGGTGACAGGTAACCTTCAGAGAGGGAGGCTGTTGTGGGCAGAAGGGTGAAGGTTGGGGATTGAATCCTGAAAAAGTCACATCTGCTGGCTAGCAGGAGCCGGAGCTCACGTCAGAGCAGGCGGCGACTAGCTGGCACCGGAGGGCTCGTGGTTACTGATTAAGCTGGGCAAGGCATTTTAAAAGCGAAGAGCACTCCCTGAGTTGAGATTAGGCAGACTCTCACAGGCTTTCACAGCGGGGAGGGGAGTGGTAGTGGGAGGGGTGGAGGGGGGAGGAAAAGGGTGAGGTCAGGAAAAGGACAGGGAATGGGTATGCCCTTGGCTTGGCAGGAGGGAGAAGTCTCGCAGGGGTGGGCAGGCCCTGCGTTCTGTCTCTGAAGCTGCCAGAGACAGGTAATATCTATCTCTGGGGCAGAAATTCCTGTCCTTGAGATTGAGACACTTGGAGGGTTTACCAGTTGTCTTGAAGGGCACTGTGAAATTTTCAAACCCAAATGGTTTCTACAGCTCTTGACTCATAGGTATATTACACAGCTACCTTCAAGTCCCTTTTGAAGGCTATTTCCACTCTCAAAATGCCTGGCTATAGCTGCTGAAGTTGCTATTATTTTCACTTGCTTACTATAAAATAAGCCTTAAGTTATATGGTTTGCAGATACTATATAACTATTAAATCGTATCCTCACAAGCAGATGAGATGGGTGTATTTATCCTCATTTTGTACATCAAGTGCCTGAGGCTCAGAGAGGCTGAACAACTTGTCCCATATCACAGAGCTGCAAGGTGACAGAGGTGACTCCCCCAAATGAAAGCAATTCTGCCCCTGTCTAGGGGAATGAGTCCCTAAATAATGGTGCTTTGCCAACTGCAGAAGATTTTAATAGATATTTGGCCCTAAGCATGCTATTTTCTGTACTTGGGAACTAACTTTACATTATTGCTCTTGTGTCCCTCAAACAGTTTATTAACTACAGAGCAAACTAAGTTTTTTTCCAGATGCAAATGAATGAAGCAAAATATGGATTGAGCATAGGATGGGCAGCAAGCACAAGAGTGGGCAACTGGCTTGTGAAATATGAATGGAGGAGAGCCAAAAGCTGCTGTCTCCCTCTCTTCCCCTCTCCCATGCCAACCTACCCTGTGGCCTGAAGTTCCCCCAAACAGAACCACTCATTTAGAGGAATGTTCTCACAGTCTCTACAAAAAAATGTTGGTTTGTTCCCTGTGAGGACTAATGCATTGATGATGTATTAGTGTGTATATATATATATATATTAGTATATATATATATATATATATTAGTGTATATATATATATACACTTGATCATAGTATTCATGCTTTCCCTGTATATATTGGTTTCTCTCGTTGGATTATCTCAACCCTCTGCAAGGCAACCATTTCCTCTCAGCATGGATTAGTTTATCAGAATAGACAGCCGTGAGCAAACCCTCAGGGCATGGAGCACAGGCTAGTTAAGTTTTCATGCTAAGAAAGATGATGAGGAGAAGTTGTCAGAAAAGGTCAAGAGCTTTAGACCATTTCCCTTGAGGGTGGATCCTGAAAGAAGCTAAAGCAGCCAGCCACAGCATGAAGGTTTGGTACCCCAGGAAATAAAGCTGAAATCATGGCCAGTTGTGAAGCTAAAATGTGAGGATTTATATATAGAGGGTATCCCTCAGGCAGCTTGGAATATTTAGATTTTTTTTTTTTAAGGTAAGATTAATCAGTGTACCACTTGATAGTTATATTTTATCAGAGAAGTAAACCATATCTTTTAACTGTGTCACCTTGGCAGTCCTAGAAGGAGTTTAGAGGAGGTGTGGGGAGAGAGAATGAGAAATGAGAAGAGGTGATATGACAGTGATGAACACATTTCTCCCACGGAGAACAGGATAGGGCCATCTCCCATCACCAGCTTTTCCTCCCATGATCTTTCCCTGGAAGATCAGAGATCCCGGGCAGGCTTGGAGAGGCACTTGGAGAGGCTTGGTCACAGCGTGAGCTGTGCGGGCTCACCTACCTCCCTGGGAGATGGGCCTGCGCATGGTCACCCAATGGGAAATCTGATCCATTTCATTCCTCCCAACCTGGAAAACTTCTGGCCCTTTCCTATATGTTTCCCCCGATCTTTTTTGCTGCTAACATTCAAACCAATCTTTACAACTCTTTGAGAGCCCATTGTTCCCTTAGGAGTAGGGCCAGTGAGGGCAGGGTAGCAAAGCCGTTAACCTCCAACCAGTCACAGGACCCTTCCACTGATGTTTCCTCCCTATGTGCTGGTAAAGGCAATGCTGGCCCCTGGCAGATTGGTCAATTCGGCCAAGTCTTGTTTTCATATTCTCTGCTCCTCCTGCTCCATTTCAAGCCAGCCAAGCATCTACTGCCCTCATCCCCTTCCTCCCATCCCGTCACTCCCACCTTTATTATTTCATGTTTTCTGGTCCTAGACAACCCCTTCTCCTTTCCTTTTTAGCTTATTTCTCCAAAGTTACCCGACCGGGGTCTCGTTCTCTTTGTGGGTGATACTGGGTTGTCCAGATATGTGCATATTTATCAACATATTAGCCAATGTAGAATGTCACTTCTTCCTGATCAGGACACCCTAAAACACTGTGGTATTATTGGTCTTTATGTGTATAAGAAAGTCTTCCAAGGAGTAACTCTAAGGGGAAACTCAAGAACTAACACCAACGAAAAGGGGAGACATCTCAATCCCTGGTCCCCTCCTCAGGGGAATCAGCTGCTCCTTCTGTGTCTGTGTGGGATGCGCCCGGGGGTAGAGGTCTGGAAGTCTAGCTTGTGCTTGATTTAGGACTCTAAAACAGTCTTGGCAACTGGCTGTCAACCTCCCTAGAGTCTTGAGCATCTCCCTCGACAAAGTCAGGGTTAATAGTGAGAGCGCGATCTCCTCTTTCTAGGTGGTGTCCTGAGAGAAGGGTGCGAAGTTGTTGCCAAGTTGCAACACAGAGCACATGGGGGAAGGCTTACTGAAAGATTTGGATGAAATTCCTTGAGAAGTGGGTCAGAAGGCTGAGATGGGGTCCTTGGCTGAGTCCAGTGCTGAAGAGTGAACTTCTTGCGACGCATTAGAAAAAAAAGCCCTAAGTGAAGTATTCATGGCCATTAGATGCTTTCCACCTTAACAAAATACCCACGTCTGGCAAGTTTGGGAGGTGATTGCTGCCAGCCATTGTCCGTTTCTGTGATGCTGTCTTAAGGCATCTTATTGTGCTGTGCAGGTTTTCAGGCTGGGAGAGCATGGGGGCGAGACAGAGTTACAACTGTGTGGAGCATGCCTGTTTCCAGATGTTGGCCTGAATAAATCCTGACCACTAGCCTTGTTTCAGAAGCCACCTAGAATTGGATTTGGTAATATTTACAGGCAGGACAGAGTGTCCCAGGAGAAATTCAATGACACTAAATTGCTCATGAGGGCATCTTGACTTTTCTGTTTTCTCAGAGCCTGGGGGTATGAGTGCCTCCCATCTGGCCGCTACTTTGGTTTATTTGGAAATGTACCTTTTTGAAGATCTGAGATTTCATCTCTGCAGAGTCTTCACTTGGACCCCATAGCCCATTCCCTAAAGCCCAGAGTAAAATCAGGCCTCATTCTCAGCAACTAGGCTCGAAATCTTGACCAGGGCAGGTTTTGGATTGGGACATAAACCGTCAAGTGTGAAAAAAACCTGAAGTGTTTTGCTTGGTAAAAGATGAGCATAATTCACTTCTTCTTTTTTTTTTTTTTTTCAGGCTTCTATTGAGATCTCCTGTCTGTATGCCGTGACAAGACAGAGCGAGAAAACATTGATAAACTGATGAAACCATTGTGTGTCCTCTCATTCGCTTGACTGTGTTACTCCGGGGGACCCTGCTGTGGGTTCTGTGTCTGTACATCATGCGCCACGAGCAGCAGAGGCAGGGCCAGCTGGGGAGGCTTCTACTGTCCAACTGCTTGTGGTCATGTTTTCTCAAGCAGCTGTTTGGGGGAAACTATTAATGCTAAGTTCCTTGCATGGAGATGGAAATGGAGAGGAATCGGCCCCATCCATCGTCCCTGGGGTAGACTTCCCGTGCCAGGGAGGCAATCCCATACTGGGAAAATCTGCTTCCCTTTGTTCTCAACATTGATGATTCTGACAGTTCCTATTTTTATTTCCTTTACCATTTTTAGGGGGGTGCTCTTTTGGACCTATCGGTTTCCTTAGGGAGGGAATCTCTTTAGGATATTTACACATCTTTATTATCTGGTCTTTTTAATCAGGAGGAGGTGACTTGCTGAAGGCAGTCTTGCTGTGAGAACAGGAGGAACAGCTGTTGAAAGAAGAAGAGAGAGATTGAAACTGGAAGTTTTGGTGATAAAATTGGATTGAGAGAGAGGCCACTGATGGATTAAGGTATGAGTGAATATTCAAAACCAGAATGTCTGGATCTGCAAATTAAGATTGTGCCTGTGAGTCTTTTTTTAGGGACGTACCACCCCAGTGCTGGTTACAACATGGGCCCTTGATAGTGGCTGATTCACTGGTAACATATGCGTTCTGCACCGAGCCAAGCCCCAAATTTCTGCTCCTGTTTTTTGTTCCTTTTCATTTTATTCATGTTCATGCTCAAAAAAGCTTAGAAGAATGGGAGATGAGACATCATCACTTTTGGAAGTCATTTTTCTAGTGGAGTCAAGGGTGTTAACCCCCATCTCTCTACTTCCAGAGCTTAATTGTGTAATAATTAATGAAGACCTCTTGTTGTGGGCAGGGAAGAAGTTATGCAGATTAGAGGAGTAGACATTCTAGTCTCTTTCATGGAGGGTGAATGGCACAGACATGCAGAGGGAGGTCTTTCTCCCATGGAGACCAATATTTACCAGCCTGATGAGAGCCAGGCACACTGGTCTGGGATGGATGGAAGGATAGTAGAGAGGCTTTAGCCAAAAAGTCACAGACTTACCTGCTTCCTTGGCAACACTTGGTCCCTCAGCTTCCCCTCTGCCTGTAGAGCAAAACAAGCTTACAATAAAAGCTTTGGCAGAAATAAGTGTTCAGCTAGGGGGGTCTATCTTAATGTACAGGGTCTTGGTTCTTTCTTTCTTTCTTTCTTTCTTTCTTTCTTTCTTTCTTTCTTTCTTTCTTTCTTTCTTTCTTTCCTTCTTTCTTTCAATTGCAAAGGTATTTCAACACTGGCATTAATGAATATTTTGAAAGACTAGAAATATTATTGATAGTGCCTTCTTTTAGTGTTCTTTTTAGTGCTGTTGTATGTTTTCCAAGTCTTTGTAACTGATATGTATGCTTTAAAAAGATTGCAAAAATGAATCTCTTATAAACGCTCAGGCTACTGCATCCATTTCCATTTTCTCTTCAGTATTTGTTACTTTCTTATTTTATTTTTAGTTATTTTCTCTTTCAGTGTTTGTTAATTTTGTGCCATTTTGGCATGCTTTCAAAAGTAATTTATTGAGATGAATTTGTATAACATAACATCAGGTGTTTTAAAGTGAACAGTCAGTAGCGTTTGGTACACTTACAGTGTTGGACATCTATCTAATTCCAAAACATTTCCATCTTAATTTAAATGAGATGTAATCTGTATTAATGGGTAAAACTTCTTACCCATTCAACAGTTTTTCTACATTTCTCTGCATGTTGCCTTTCCCACAGCCCCTGGCAACAACTTGCCCACATTTTGTCTCTATGGATCTATCTACTCTGAATATTTTATATAAATGGAATTATGTTATGTGACCTTCTTTCACATAGCGTGCTGTTTTTAGAGGTCCATTCATGCTGTAGTGCTTGTCAATACTTTTTCCTCTTTATGGCTGAATAATATTCCATTGTATGGATATACCAAACTACTTAATCTTTTCATCTGTTGATGAACATTTGGGCTATTTTGACATTTTGGCTCTTGGGAATATGTATGTGCATGTTCTTATCTGTCTGTTTTTAATTCTTTTGGGTGTATATCTAGTTTATACTGGTGTTAACATAATTGCTGGGTTATATGGTGAGTTTATGTTTTGCTTTTTGAGGAGCTGCCAAAGGTTCTGTACAGTGGCTAAAACATTGTGCCTTCCAGCCAACAGCATGCAAGGGGTTCAATTTCTCCATATCCTCTCCAGCCCAGCACTTTTCTTTTCTCTTCGACATACTTTTAACCACTGTGAGCATGTCATTTTATGCAATTGGCTATTAAGTTTTAAAATTTATATTAACCTCTAGCACTTGTGTGTACTGGTGCATTTGACATTATCTGGGTCGCCAGTTCAGAAAAACTTTGTTTCATTATCTCACTTTTGTTCTCGGATCATCTAATTCATCCCCATGACTTCACCTCTGATAATATTTGAGCACAGTGTTTATTGTTGGAGCAGATTTTCTTGCATCTTAGAGCAAACTCTGTCTTAGACATGTTGGCCCCTGGCCTATTTTTTGGTTACATGAGTTTTTGAAGCCTAATATTCAAAGCAGAGCTCTTTCCTGAAAGCTGAGTAGGGGTGCTTGCATTTGGCTTCTGTGAAAGTTCTGTGGAACATAGGAATAATGTGACACAGGAGATTGAACAAGATGGGAGATGCCTTGCATTGTGTGCTTTTCTTCAGCCTCACCCACATTCCCGCACTTCAGCCTCACCCCTGGCACGAGGATGAGGAGTAGTGAGCCTGTCCAGCTAGGCCAACAGGGTTTGGGGAACAGAAAGAAGGGCAAGAATGGCCTTGTACCTATAGGAACGGACAGGACAAGAGGCAAGAATGATTTCCTTAAGCCAGATTTGCCTGCTCTAACTCAGCTGGTGAATTCAACAATCAGGGAAAAATGACAGAAGGTGAAGTGCAGGGTTTCTCAACCTTGGTACTGTTGACATTTTGTGCTGGCTAGTTCTTTGTTGTGGGAAGCAGTCTTGTGCAGTGTAGGATGTTCAGCAGCCTCCTGGCCTCTACCCACCAGATGCCAGCAGGGCTCTCCACCACCCCCTGCCCTGTCCAGACATTGCCAACAGTCTCTGCGGGGCACAAAGACTCCCAGTTGAGAACCACTGGGCAAAGTGGATATTAATTTTTTCACTTATCAGTTGGCATTATTATTTAAAAGTTAATATTTATTGAGGCCTAACACTGGGCCAGGTGCTGTACTCAGCATTTCCTTCATTTATTCCTCAGCAAATATGTGGATGTTTATTCTGCTGGGAACTGAATCCATTATGTGGACTAAGGTCTGGCGAAGTCTCACCCCCATGGAGCTTCCGTTCCAGTGCAGAGACGAACATCACACAGACCTGGGATTGCAACCGTGACAAGTGATATGGAAGGGGAGGCCTTGCGGGACTGTGATGAGAGCAGTTTTCCAGGGGTCCCTGTACACCAGGCTTTGTGCTGAGACCGTCCCATGTATGAACTCATGTGGCCCTTACAACAGTGTAGGTTAGAGTCACTGGTACTCACACCCATCTCGCAGGAGGAAACTGAGCCTTAGGTGGGCAAAGTTGGACAGACGGTAGGGGGGGAGTTCGGGTGTTGAGGCTGCTGCGTTGTCTTCAGAGCGTGAGCTTCTAACCACCATTGAAGATAAGATGAGGTGAAAGCTGTGGAATGGATAGCCTAGATGAAGAGGGAAAGGCAGAGTGCTTCCAGGCAGAGGCTCAGCCAAGGACAGAGAGCAGAGGACAGCAGAAAAGGCCCCGGGGGGCCGGAGTGGGGAGAAGGTGGTGGTGGTGTCAGTGGTGGGGGACGAGAGATTCATCGTCACCCAGAAAGCCATAGCGCGGGGGTGGGTGGCTGAAGGGGCTCTCTTAGGGGGAGGGGACACTCAGGTGTGCCCTCACTGCCGTGTTTAATATTTACAGCCACCCAATGAGGAAAGAGTGAAAGCCTTTCACTGACAAAATGGAACTCAGGGAGCCAAATGCTTGGTGAAGGTCATAAAATGAAAATGTGGCAGAGCTGGCCTTATACTCAGCTTGTCCCATTTGAAACCCATTCTCTTCACCAGCACACTGTGCGGCACTGTGCGGTCCTGGGGCCGTGGCACAGCCGGGCCACTGTGCACGCCTCCCTCATGATAGCCAGTGAGATGGCTCTGAGGTCTGGAAATGCTGTCCCCGTGCCTTTTGATCACCGCGTGTTAATGCAGACTCAGTTCCCTGCGTCTCCACAGTCGTTTCCTAACTTTGGAATTTTCTAGTTGCGGTTGATTGTCTTTCACGACAATTCACGCTTTCGCCCCGGCCCCCCCTGGGTCCTGACATTCTGCCCTGGGACACTGTACATGTGGCCTGTGATAAGAATCGCTCCATTCAGAGTAGCTGGCAGGTAGATGTCCTACTTGCTCAAACATGCGTGAAGGTCTCCACTCCCCGCGGCTCACGGCCGTGGCGCCTGGAACTCTTTGGCTGGCCTTCTTCTGTTCTTTTGGAGATAGTATGGTAAACTTCAAGCTAGTGTTCATTTAAATATTAATACGCAGTTGCCCAATCTCTCCTGTGGTATTACCCCATTCTGTGGGGTGTTAGGCTGAGTGAGCCTCCCTGCTCCCTTGCATCACACATATTGGCAGCGCCGACCCTTGCAGCTGAGCCGGATCCTTGCCTTTTCACTAACCCAAATGCTCTGCCACGCGAACCCCAACGAAATGAGCCCCTTCATTTTGCACACGGATAATTAAACTTCAAACACTGTTTATCTCAGTCCCCAAATCCTCAGAATGCAGAAGCAAATTAATTTTAAATCTATATCTGCTTTAAATAGTAATTGTTTAATCAACAGGCTTGATGTTTAATTATATTCTTTGTTCGTACTCCCCGCAGGCTTGAATAGACCACATAATTCCTGGGTTGCTTTCATTTCTGTAATTAGATCATGTGACAGATCAGTACTATATTACGGGTACTGTAGTCGCTTCTCTCCCACCACCCTGTAAATGCTAAAATGGTTTCTCATGAATACTTAGATTAGAACAGCTCAGCTTAACACGGAGCTGTGAGCGTTTTGCTTAAATCCTTTACTCTTCTTTCACCTAATAGTTGGCTTGGGAGCAAGCGATTTTTACTGGTGCCTGAGATATTGTGCTGACTGTTTTCTGAGTTGAGCTCCTGTTTTCCTGAAAGAAAACCTTTCCTGACCACAGAGAAACACACTGTATGGACACCTTGAAGTCGATTTTGTCCTTAGAGAAATGATATTTTAAGGTTCAAATGGAATAAAAAATAGTCCACTGGGCTTTTCTTTTCTGACCATCTGGGGCTTCATGGAGAAAGAGGAAGTAATTTTCCACATAAGAAAGAGTCGTTTTGTCTCCAAGAATTTATTTTGCTTGTCTGGATTCATCCCCTAAAAATGAGAGCTGGACCTTAGATAATTAGGTCAACGTTGAAATCTATTCTTTAATTGGAATTTGTTTGT